TTAGTTCTCACCCTGTTCTCTTTCTATTAGGAAAGTTAGGGTACTGAGTTGGTAGCTTTAATTAAAATTTCGAGAGAAAAGACTCATAAGACAATAAAAGCCACAATTTGTTAGTTTTTAGAATTAAGAAAATTAAGGCGAGTTATTTTAATCTCATTATAATTATGATTAGATTATAATTATACACTTTGCTAACATTAGGATTACTGAGTAAGTTTTTCATTTAATAATATCGGAATAGGACGTAACTCCCGATTATTATACTGCAGTATAATTTCTCTTGGATTATCATTAACTCATTTATTATCGATCAAGAATCAATTTAAAAACTTATATAGCGGTTTTTCAGTTCTAGTGTTTATGACGGTTATTTCCTTGTTTCCATTATATTCTTTTTTATTACTGTTCTTCTTTTTCAACATAAACAAACCCGAGAAATAAGCACTACATTTTTATCGTTTCTACACAGATAAACATGGCGTGGTAAAAACCGTGTCATCCATAAAATTTTTCAATCTTCTGTTCACGCACTTTAATCACGAAAACTGCTGTTGAGAAGTTTTTCAATTGAAAAACTTGAAATTGTGTAAGAAATGTGTCAGTTCGTGCCAACCTGCGCGTGACAAAGCAAATTGCACACGATTCTGATTATCATTTTACTTCTATAGGCAAAGTGCCATCTAACGGAGAGTTATAATATAATTTATCGTAAAATATAAATGCAGGCTAACTAACTTGTTAAGTGGCACTAACATGGATAATGTAAAAAAAAAAAGAAGAATTTTAATATAATGTGGTATAATCAGAGTGATTCCTTAAACAATTTAAATAATTCTGTGAGGGGTAAACCCAAATGTATGTGTACTGTGCTTTTGTTAATAGATGTCAATCCATGTTGCAATGTTGGACCTTTGTCATGTTAAGCAGGCTATTTGCAGTAATTTAATTCAGAATTCCTTTGTTAATATTAGAAAAGCTAAGAGCCTTACTGTTTGTAATGAAAACAACGACGTTTCTGTTGATAATAAAACAAGGAATAACCATCTAAATTGCTAAGAACTCTTCTGACTGTAATAAAACATTTAACAACCCTTCTGTTTGCGATTAGCAGCAACTAAGAAGCCTGTCGTTTATATAAAAGAACTTGCTGTTTTCAATAAAATAGTAAAACCACATTTTTGTTCAGAGTTAGGGTTAATAATATTTAGTGTTTATAATATAATAATTAAAATGTTATTATTTGTAACGAAAGGGTGAAGAACCCTTTTGTTTCGAATGAATAAAGAACCCTGAGGTTTGCAGTAAAATAAGCTAAAATCCATCGTTTGCTATTAAAGTTAACAATAACTCGGCCCTTATGATTAAAGAACTAAGAACCCAACTACATGTTTGTTTCTTTTAGCGCAAACCTAGACATTAGTTTTTTTTTTATAGCAAAATCACATTGGGTTATCTGCTGTGTCCACTGCGGAGAATCGAATCCCGGATTTTAGCGTTGTAAGCCCGTAAACATACCTCTAATTCACCCGGGGACTCTACACAATGGGCTACCTGCACTCTGTATACTGCGTTATAATTCCATAAACTTGCAATAGAAGCATTAAAGATCCTGCTGCTTGGAGTGAAGTTTCGTGATCTTTCTAATACACCTTCTCTCGTGTTCTTCTTTGTGCTACCACACAAACACTCAGAATCTATCTAAAATAATGAAGATGGTGACACTCTGAGTAACTCGTTTTGAATAACCTTCTATTATTAATTGTATCCATTGAAGATGCAGAATTATTTCTTAAATGACATTTACTAAAGCAGACCGTTGGTTTTGATAGTGTAAGGTTTTGTACCATATTCGAGTAAGCAAGTGTAAAAACCTAGAAAGGTTTCTTCAGAAAAAAAAAATGAAGCCCGAAGGCGAGCCTTTATAATGTATTACTCGTAAACCTAAAGCGAGCCAAACTTTTTGACCCCCTGGCAGCACGTGTCGCCGTTTTTTCCATAGAACGGTCCTATAGCGTAGCGTATTTTCTCTGGCCACATCAACGGTTTGCTCGACCCCAGACGGCTTGTAGCTTCCCACGCTTTCCGTCAGTCACGTTTCACCATATCATCCCTGCAGGGCCGAAATGGACTTGTCCATCCACTTGTTCATTTCCAAGAGCGGGAAATACACGCTTGGTAACAGTACGTAGCGTTTCTGTAAGAGAACATCTTGATTCGATACTACGACGATAAGAGCCACAACATTTCTTGTTTGCATTAAGTAGGGTGTGATCACGTTCTTAGGGATATACATCGTTGTAACATCAATCTGAAGAGGCCTAAATTTTAAGGCGTTAACAACAATGAAAGATTTAACGGGAAACGGTTAACTCGAAAGCCCTACCGCAACCAGTTTTCAAGTTCCGTGAAATATTTTAACCAACCGCCGAGCAGTAAACATAGGGGAAAAGCGGCCTTTAGGAACTGGCACATGTAATACTAATAGTTAGGAATTTGGACTTTGGAATTACGTGTTGTGTTGGTAAATGAAACCAGACACATTGCAGTTGTCATAAAAACCGACGGATTGAGAGAGAGAGAAAAAAAAAGAGATGGACTGGCTGGTCTAAAGTTTAATCATACCAAGTCAAGCACGGTAGAACAGGTGGACGTCTCACTTGTTGTAACGACCCCTTTCCGGATTACCCGATTGTAGGGAACTTTAGGGCCTATTTAAATAGTAGATGTAGTGGTGATATTAAAAAGTTTCGGTCAAATGTATCTGTAGATCCTGTCTCGTAACGTAATATAGTTTGTATCGAAATCATGATAATTTTACGAACCTTCCTCCCTTGGTGGCATATAATCAGTGCTATGATTATCATCTTGGTAGATGTCTGTGATTCTGCTGGTATGTCCAGTGACAGCTGCGACTGGTATGGAAGGTGAGCTTATTTTCACCATTTTTACGCATAATTGGTAAAGACAATGTTTTTTGTATGATATCAGTCGATTTTGAAAGTCCCCTCATTTTTTTTTTACTATAAATAAGTTGATAATTATCGGTATAAGTATTGATACAATAGTCCTTTTTATACTCGGAAGCAGTGGCCACTGTTCAGAAGATAAAACAATAATGTTAGGATATACTTAATATCTGTAGAAATTAAGTCGAGAATATAGTCAAGAGCTAGTTACCCCACACATCTTTGTTGTGCTGATGTACAAGGATGTTAACTGTTAAGGATTGTAACTGGAAACGGGTGTATTCGTTCCAATTCGAAGCTGGTTATTGTAAGAAGATATGCCTTAAAAGTTAAAATATATGCATCATCGTGTGTGTACATTTCACATTGTTTGGTGATATTACTAAAGATGGTTGAACTAACTTTTAAATCTCTCTGTTGTAAAATATGGGGAAAAAATTGAGGTTTTTAAGACTCAAAATTATGTTACGTATATTTCTAATCTTGGAAAGGAAGTGCAAGTAAGGTTGGTTGTTTTACCTATACTTCTGCATTTTTGCTAAATATATATATTGTAAATATATTTTAGTTCAGTATATTTAGCCAAATCAACTTTTTTTTGGTTTTAATTACAGTTTGCAGTTGATAAGTTGACATGCAGTTGACATTTGTGGGGCATCGTCAGAACTTTTTTTTTTGGGGGGGGGGGGATGGGGACATTTCTGAAATCGGTAACCCAAGTAAGCAGTGAATCGATAGCAGTCCAGTACACTGTCCATAGCAAGGTTTATGGCAGATTGAAGAAAAGCTTTAGCAAACAAAAAATATTATGCATATCATATTATAATGTCACATCCAGCATTTTATGCATGGCTATATTTAATATTCCGTAACTATCAAAATGTAGTTGAGGTTCAAAAGGGGATCGTTCGCACCCAATGAACCCCCCACCACCCATGATATCGAATAATAAACCATCAAATCTTTCACCAGTAGTTGAAACAACATATTTTACCAGTGATGTAAACGTGTTTTGAAACATTGTTTACAAAGAGGCGATCCTGATGAAAACCAGCTATTTGTCTTCGCTTCGGTTAAGATTCAGAGTTAGTGTACCTCCCCTTCTTCGACTTATCTTTTGATGACACACAATTTTCAACAGGAGTCCAACAAACAAGTTTGTTTCTGCTGATAATTTTTTAAACTTCAAATAAATCGGTTAAACGGTTCGTTTTGGACTTTTCCGGGTTAAGGTCAATATTTCTGTGTGTAGTTTGGAGTTGTTTTGTACAATTACTTATTTACACAGACACACAAACACATACGTGTGTGTATATATACATGTATATATTAGGAGTCTCTAACTTTGATGGAAGTTGGGGAAGGTGAAAACATTTATGTTAATATAACGTATAGCTAATATTGCGTGTGTATAATAACTGGAAAAATGGACCATGTGTTATGCGCCTAAGTGACATATATGTATATAGACAGAGAGAGAACTTGAAATATGTCTTTATGGAAGAAAAACGCAAACAAATAACCTAACAAGACACATGGGTTAAAGATAATGGATGAACTGCTCTGGATTATGAACATTTTAACGTGTGTAATGGGTCTGTGTATAAGGGTAGAAATACTTTCAAGAAGTGGGGTGGTTCTCAAATGAAGCTATTTTTGTGTATGATGACCACTTTTAATTTACAGTGCACACTTATCAAGAACAGTTAAGACATTTGTAAGTACACAATAACGTGTTTTGTTCACGTAACGATTAAAATACCACTCGTTCATCGTGAAGTATGGGGTTCTAACCGTTGTATAAGGAGCTCTTATTTTGAAACGTTTTAGTTTTATATATACAGTATGCTTGTCAACACATACGCAAAAATAAGTATCTATCCGTCTGTTTGTCTTTGTATACAAGACAAACCGCAAAAAGCATAAGTATACAGCCAATCCAATTCTCCGCCTGTACTGCGGTGTAAAAAAAGAAAGGTGTGTACATTGTTTGGAAAAAATTATATACCAGCGTTGTGCAGGGTATTTCTATTTTAAGAAAAGGCTTTGGAAATAAGTGTGGCGTGAAGAGTATGTAGAATTAAGGCCGTTGAGAGGCTGTATACCCGCGAAACTTTCAATGTCATTCCTCTTTCCATTTCTTTGAATATTTTTCAGCATTTGTAGCAATATACCATACATGACTAACCAGAAAATTTCGGTTTCTTTATGTTACCACGGCGTCTGCTCCAGCGCTCATCAAATAACCGTGTTTGTAGTATTCTAGCTATTCAGTTTGCTCTTCCGTGGCCCGCGGAAAATCTGACTTGACATCAATGAATCGGAGAATACATAGATCTCAGGTTACACTAAGCCTAATCCTTTAAATGTGGGGTTGAGAGTTACAGGTAGAGCACGCTCCTTCAAACTAGTAAACCGTTACAAAGAGAGCGGACGGATAAAATATTTTCCCGTAAAGAGCATTATTATAAGGTTCTGAGTGTTCGAGAGTAACTGATGGTGTTTTTACCTCTGCTAATCTATGCATACTTTCTTCCGAAGTGGCTCATACGAATCCTGTTTTGGTGAGAAACGAAAGGGAGCAGATTACAAGTGCGCATCTGATAGAAAGAGCTATGAAAAGCTCGGTGGAGAGAATGTCTTAAAGGACTCGCAGGCGATTATTTTGCGGTTTTTCTCAAAACAGAAACTTGAACTAACATTACAAAGACCTTGCTAGGGAGGAGGCGGGGTCGAACAAACACCCATGTTGTCTAAAAAGTCTAAAAGGCTCAGTTTTTCTGATTTTTCCTTTCATGTATATCATTTAAATTTTCATGCATATCATTTAAATTCTTTGTGTGGAAGAAAAGATCCATTTTTTTAGAAACAGACCCCCCCTTCCCCAACACACACACACACTCTAGTGTTGGCTACGCCCCAGAAACAGCAATACGATATTTCTCATCAGGACCTTTCTAAGCAGTTGTAAAAGTTGACAGTACTTCAATAGTCTTGGTTTTTTTGAGAAAGTCTAAAATTCTTTAAGCTTTTCTATCAGAATCTAAAAGTTGTGTCTAGATCATGGCGTGATATTCAGAGTAACTGTCGTAATGCATATGATATAACAGCTTAGCACGTGCATTAGTACATCAAGTTTAGTGGCAGACGTGTTTAAATGGAAATTCGGTGTATGCTAAGAGAATACCTAATTTGGATGCACTATATATTGGAACTTATTACAAAGTTAGTGCATCTGGTAATACCCAAAATATGCCCGCCTATCATGCAATCAATTTTTATTTTGTAAACTAAACATATTTGTTGTATTATATAAATTCACACTTTTTCATACGTACACAAACACACACACTAACATACATAACTTGTTTATTAAATATTTTAAGGAAGGCTGTCTAAACAATTATGATAACTTTTAGCGACTCACGGGTTGGTAGACGGTAGTTACTGTCGCACCTGTAGCAGGACGCCTTGCAGATTAAAAGCTGTATGTGTCGGTAAACACGTGCGTTAAACAAACTTTACTTAAATAATTTTTGACGTACGAGTGTAAAACTGGTAATTTTATACAGGATCAACTAATATTTTTTACTCCGCTAAATATCGTATGACCACAAACGCACTGATGAATCATGAATCTTAAATATTGTGTCACCATACGAGACAATGGTACGTTTACGGATTTACAGCGATAAAATTCGAGGCTCAATTCCCCGCGGTAGGCAGAGTGCAGATAGCCCGTTGGTAGCCTTGCACTAAGAAAACGAGCACTCTTGTTAAATATTTTAATTCCATGAAATACAATTTATTTTAATTAGTTTTTATATGCTGTGTTTATCTTAAAAGGTAGAATAAATTATATATATATATATATATATATATTCGTAAACAAAATGAATAATTTTCTAGACTAAATAAATATAACACTTTTAATGAAAATCTTTCTCTTCACTTGTAAAGAAGGCATGCTTAAAATGTTAAATGAGAGGTCTAGAAGCTGTTAATGATTATGTTCAAAACTTTTGTATTGTATTCCCCACACACACATCCAGCGTTTACATGCAAAATGAGTGAGCTTTTAAAATATACTGGAAAATTTTGGGCTCGTTTAAAACTTGCATGCGAGTTCTAGTGGTGTTAATTTGAACTTCATATATTCAGTGTTTGGTTGTGATCAAAGAATGTAAGCTATGTAAAATAATGACGGAGACAAATCTGAATGTATTCATTATTCACTATTTGTTCCTTACTTCATCGAATAAAAATGAAGATGAATTCATTCGTTAAAATTAACAGTACGACTTGTAGTTTGAGTTTCGAAGATATGTTTGTGCAACAAGGCACTACATTGTCGCTATTCAATAAGCGAGGTAATGTAAATAAATACATTATACTATTTTTTACAACAGTCGACTGACTTTTCTAGTCCGGAGCAAGTATAGCGTTAAACCCGATCTTGTAATTCTGATTTTTGTGCTTCATTGGTCTTATTATGTCTTCGCAAAGAAACATACTGTTTTTCTATTGTTTCTTCTTTCTTTCTTCTTCCAAACACTTTTCCACCGACCATCATTCCTTCAATTATTTCTCTATGGATTGACTTGAAACTTGGTAGGGTTATACCTCGGTCCAATACTCCCAAGCGCCTCTTTAATTTATTTTTTATTTAGGTCTTTTAATGATTTTATGGGATGAAATGTCAAACAACCCCAAAATGTATATTTTGTGCTCCTGCGCTGTCATATTTACAGCAATCAAGATGAAAACTGGTACAAATATAAATTTTCATGTGCCCCAAAAGTTGGATTTGCCTATTTTGAGTCTTTTCAGGAGAGTCATGGCTCACAAAAAAGCATGATTTGGGGTTTTCGGTCAATTACTCGGCTATATTTTGACCAATTTACATGGGATTTGACACAAAGATACTTTTCTACAGATCCCCAACATTGGCAAACAAA